TCAGTTCGGTTGACTTAGTTTGGTCAGTAGGGTTCAGTTGGCTTATCCAATCTATGACCATTTTCAATCTCTAGTAAGTAGTCTCTACTTCTCCGTTGGGTGGTCAAAGATACTTTATGGAATTGGCTCTTTCATTGGGTTGGCTCCACTACGTTATAGACTACTGTATCAAGTCAGTTTTCTTACAATGGATGGCTCATACACTCTTTTCTCATTTCCAATCGAGTGACTTACACTTTGATCACTAGGTCTTCTTCTTTTCCACCCTTTGGCTCGGTCGGTTTTGGCCTCGTAGACTTGGCTTGTCCAGTTTGGTGAGCCTTAGTGGAACTGCCTCCATCTTATTCTTCTTTTATGGATCGCTAGATCTCTGTTAGTTCTTTTTGATGTACAATTATCCTATAATAACTAACATCATCTTCTTTGTCTTCTCTACTACAAAGAGGATAATTGACGTAAGACATTTCACACCCATCTTATTGTCCACTTGATATCTCTTCCTATAAAGAGAGTACTCAAGTCAATACTCCACTATCATTTGACTGTTAATATTCTCTATCAACCATTGCTCGATGCGTGCTAGTAGTGATCATATAATGTGTATTTGTCATTAGCAATTGATATCCATGTTATTGATCGCCTAAATTATGAGATTTCAATATGATCATTGTCCAACACTTCTTAATGATTGACCACCACTGAAATCTATCAATCATTGATGTCTAACACTCTTTTATTATACTCATCTTCTCACTATCACATGAGGAGTCATATAACCACAAGACATAATATGAAATCAAATACATTAGAGACCTATAACAAATCATAATGCATAATTGTAATTTAAAAAATAAAATTACTTAATTTGAAATTTAACTTTCAAATAATGTTTATTATTTTTTTTAATTTGAATAAGAAATGCGTCGTAATTATAAATTTGAAAAGAAAATCTATTTTGTTTGATATTTGGTTATCATGTCTCATGCCTATGATTATGTAAAAATTTGAATTCTTACTAAAAACCATAATTATTTATTTGATGCTTAACAAATACATTATATGTGTCGATGAAATTAGTCTTCAAAATCGAATGATATTATAGTAACTCATATAATTAATTATTTAATTTTTAGCAAATATTTCAATAAAAATTTATATAAAACATTTGATATTAAAAATAAATAAACTTATTTTATCTTAATTGATATTTTAAATGTTCATCTTTCAATAATTTAATTTAAAAATTAAAATTATTTTTATAATCATAATCAATATTATTATTGTATATTGAAAATGTGACTGCACAAATCTCGTCACGGATCACGCGAAGAAGGCATCAAAGGATCGAGTCATCTGACATCATTTCGATTTATCGAACCATGGGCCAACCAAAACTGCAGAACACCACACATTAGACCAATAACAACTTAACCTACACAAATGCATTCACAAGATCAACGATCGCTTAGCAAAACTGTAACTTGGCCTCCTATGAAGATTTATCATCAGAAGGAAGATTGTCTATCAAATTACGTTGATGCACGCTCTCTGACTGATGAAATAATCCTTCATGATAACAATGAATATTCACGACGAATCCCCTCATAAATGTCGACTGAGAATCTTTCAGTCGGTCGAATGCCCATAACCGGCCAAGCAAAGACCAAACAACCAAACTGAGTAGTTATGAATATGCAACGGTGCAGAAACAGTTGCTGCATATGTGGAACAATGCTAACAGTATTTACCGTGGTAAAAAAATGTCAAAGTCGGTTACAAATATGTAAATGTGTAATGACTCATAAATTTACTATAACATTTCCACTAAGTGATGGGAAATCATGTAATTTACTAGACCATCCCTATAATTTATAAATAAAAGGGTCATTTCCAAAGGAAATACTACTGAATGCATTCCTAAATAATTATTATTTTGACTCATTCTTTTTTGTATCTCTGCTACTTACTTTTATTCCTCTCATCCGATCAACAGTCTATTCCTTGGGTGTGGTCCAAAAGAATTCAACACTTGTTATTATTATTGCTATTATTATTATTATTATCACCATCAATGATACAACATGATGTTGTTGATACTTGATGAATCTTATGACATTATTTTGCATTTATCTAAAAATAAAGGCTATGTTATACTTTTCTCTGAGAAAAAAAATTTATTAGCCTATATTTTAAAAGGTTGATGTGATTTAAATTTATATATAATTTTTTAAAGTTGAAAGCCTTTTCTTTTACAGTTTAGATTTCTTTTGAAATTTACATGCATACAACTCAAATCCCATGTATTTAGACATCAAACACATATATTTTATATTTTTATAAATATGTCACCTCATCTATGCGTGAAATTATATATTTCACATTTTTTAAATAAAAAAATAACGATATTTTTTATGTGATGTGAAATTTTTTTGATAGAAATATGTAAAATAAAGTTTAGGTGTTGTGCATATAATTACATAAGAGACTTTGGAGGTATGTACATAAAATGCCTTTTTTTGAAAAATTTTAATTAATTTTCTTGCTAACACTAAAAGTGCTTCCGCTATTTGATTCATGATAAAGAGATTGAAATTATATTATCAAAATTATATCTTACACCAGATACGCTTTTGCAAGAATCTGGATGAAATCCAACAAACAAAAAATATAAAAGAGTACAGCTAATGAGGACTCGTGGATGAAATACCAACAGGCCACAGAAGGAAGACCAAGGAATCATTGGTGGAAGACCAATGGTTCATTATCACAAGGTTATGTGTTCACTAGAGGAATGCCAAAAGACCCTTTTGACAAAGTGCAACCTCTTAAACAGGGGTTGGAGGCTGATCGAGAGAAGGTCGTCTGAACCAAAGACTAAAGCTCCTATGGAGCCGACCAGAGGCATTGACGTACCTCTCGCCATAACTTGATTCAAGTGAAGAATACAACATCAATCACTATTCCACGACGCCCTTGAGAGTTCTCATTAGAGACCAATAATTAACCATCACATAACCACATGAAACATTCTCAAAGGATCACCTCGTTAAATAGTAACTACTTCTCGGATTATGGTGATTCACTTTTTGACTAATAACCTAACATTGTTTTGCAGACAGAAGTTCCTTTTTAAAAAGGATTAATAATCAGGAACCAGACTAGTACAACCGACCGACAAAACCAAACCGATCAAGTCGTTCCGATGAACTGAAGAACATCAAAGGGCGATCGATAATCCTGATTCAACAAAGGCGAATGAGCATCTCTTGCCGAACTAGTACTAACTAAATTTAGCCTAGCAAGTTATATGGTTGACGAATATAAAGTTTATATATGTCAAATAACCAATTTATCCTATAACGCCCTAATTAAAGTTGGGCAGAAATATAGTTCCATATATTGTACCTCCTCTTCTATAAATAGGGATATCATTTTATTAAAAAAAGACAAATCAATAATTTTGATTACTGTTCATTACTATGCATTTGTCCCTGTATCTATCTATTTGTCTCATATATTTAACTTTATTCATTGGGTGTGATTCACAGACAAATCAGAATTCAATATTTATATTTATGTGCATTAGATATCTAGTTTTTAATATTTATATATGTTAATATTTTAATTATAAAAAATAAAAAAAATATATTAATATTATAAATTTTAAGATGGAATATATATTTTTATGCATATGAAATATATAATTTCTTATATACGTCCTAAATTGCATTTCACTTCGCTTTTGCCCTGCTGATAAAATCAAAAATTTTTCTGTGCAAACTCCTGACGTAGTTTTACGTGCAACGCATGATATTCCTGAGTTTTTTTCAGGTTATTTTTGGATTATTTTCAATAATTTTGAAATAAATTAGAAATAACCCGCGGTGAAAAAAAATATTATAAATTATTTTTGAGTTATTTCTGGATTATTAAAAATAAAATAAAAAAAAAACTTAAAAATAACTCATAAAAAAAAAAAAAAAAAAAAAAAAAAACTTAAAAATAACTCAAAAATAACAGTTAGAGATAGGTAATTTGCGTAATTTGCCTGGACAAAAAATAGAGAATGCTTACATTGCCAACTGCCCTCGTCACATATAATCAGCAAGACGACGATCATCTATCAACGTCACAGTTCGCACTGAAGGGTTTTTCTCCTCCGGGGCAGGAGAATAGCGCTAAGCGAAGGTCTGACTATGTCCGAATCTATAGGGCGATACGAAACGAACGCTGATGGTTTCGTCGGGTGTGGCGGCGCGTCTTCTTCGTTGAATGAGGCCTACTCGGGAGGTTCCAGATCACAGGTCTGCTTCTCTTCTATCTCTGTTGTTTTTGTAGTTTTCCCATCGTAGTGCGCGATCCGGTTCTGCTGGTGTCTCATTGGAGTAAAGTAGGTAAACTTCTGTTGTGGAGTGCTTTTGCGGAAAACTCGTGTATCTTTATTATATTCCTTTTCTTTCCGCTGGTGTTAATTGTTGGATTTGGCGCATATTCTGTGAGTCGAGAATTCAGTGACCGAGGTTTTAGAGGTTCTAGGGATAGTAGTCCGTTGTTTGAGTTTGAAGACGGTGTGCGTGATTCTTCACTTTATGTTTGCTGTATGAAGCTTTTAGGTTTTATGGCTGCCTTTTATGGATTATATGTGGAATAGCTTCTTCCTCTTGTTGCTTGTGCTTATCTTTTTTTTTTTTTTCCTTGTGTTGTTTCTGCATGATCTGCTAGCTCTGTTCTCATCCGAGGCACTTGATTGAAGAGTCCGTTCCTTTATCTGGTTCCCGTTCTTCATTAGTCTCCTTCATAGTAGTCTGCACGAAGTTACCTGCCTCGCTTTTATTCTTCTCTTTTACTTTCTTTGAATGTCTTGTTCTTTTTTGTTCATGATGCTTGTTCTAATGCATGTGATAAATTTGAGAAGCGCTGCTTGCCCATTTTCTATATACTTTTTATTTATTAATCCGGAACACAATTTACAGGAGCACGAGCAATTGTCCGCTGGAAAGAGGCAGAGTTAAGGAGGATGGCAGAGAAAGCAATAGAGATGAGGAATGTGATTGGTATATAGGGAGGGGGAGGGAAAGTGACCGTCATCATGGAGACCATAAGGATAGAAGTGACAGAAAGGAACGTGAACGGGATAGAGTTGATGATCATGATCGTCACCTAAGCAGGTCTAGATCTGAAGATCATGATCGTGATCTCCATAGCCGTCACCATAGGCAAGGTTACGATAATTATGAAAGACATCATGGCCGTGATGCTGTTGATCATCGCAGCCGAGATTATGATAGGTAAGAGTATTTTATATTGCTTGTTTTACACTTTTGTTTTCCCCCATTTTATGGTGGACACAAAAAAATTTTCATTCACCAAGTGAATGTGCTTTAAATTTATAATTTTAAAAACTATAAAAACCTTCAAAATCTTTTTTTATTTGATCCAGAATGTGAAGATCTTCCAAAATTCAAACTAGTGATAGACTACAACAATTCAAACTGGATATTATTTTAATAAGGAAACTTTTTAGAATTCATTCGAGCAGTAAAATATGTCCTCCTAATCAATCAATACATTATAAAATACCAAGTTATCATTGAATGATTGATTCTTTTTAACCACATTGTAAGTATAAAGAAAGTATCATATATCATTCTCATCATCATTCTCTCTATATCGTCATTTGAGAGACTTCAGATATTTGATAATATTTATCGAGCCGTATAAAAATGCTACCATTATTTCTTTGTATAGACATATATACATTGGCCAATAATCCTGTCGCCCTAAGCTTTTATGAGGAATGTAGGCTTATTAACTAACTGCTTGATCTCGTAGAAATTTCACTTAGTAGCATAAATACATTTCCTTTCGTTACTACAAAGAATGAATGAATATTTTATACAAAACATTGCCACTGAAACACCTGAAAGTTTAATGTTCTCTTCATTCTTTTTTCACATTTTTTTTTCATTGTTTTCTCTTTATAGTCCACAGTCATTATGGCACTAATGTATGCCAGGTAAGCTATCAACATGTAAGAAAATCTGCCATTCAAAAAAAAAAAAAAGGAAAAAACGAACTGCTTCTTTGCAAAGCATGGGCCGGCTTATCTTTTCTTTTATTTTATGAATACATTTTTCAGTCAATTCACATGTTTCCAAAGAAGTATTGAAATGGAAATGAAGCCAGTTGATATCTCCATATACCTAGAGTTATTAGGGAAATGGCTCATTCTCTTTAAATTCTCTAGTCATAATTTTCTTACACTATAGAGTACTCCATATGAGCTGATAGATGTATTCATTTGAAAACTATATGCTTATTAGTTAGTATTTCAGTATTATTCAAGTAGTAATTAGCTTCACGAACACTAAAAGCACAATAAATGAGCATGCAAATTTATTTGAAGTCTTATCATATTTGTTTGGAGTATGCAAGTCCATTTGAAGGCTTATGGTATTTGATTCTTATCGTTGACTTAATCCTTAATGGCGATTACTTCCTTTTTTGATTTCAGGAAAGGGATATATTTTTATTTTTGATGATAAAATTTTAAATTTATATTTATAGGACATCCTGCCCTGTGAATTTAGTTTTATAAAGGAGATTGGAATCCTTACAAACATGTCTGCAGGCGGATTAATCTCTCAACCATGCAGAATTGCTCTCGTTTTTTTTTGTGATATTCTTTTATTCTTTTGTTTTTGGTCTGATTATGTCTTAGTTTTCTCGAGTACATTTGCATTAAGTTATTGAGCCAATAAACACGCTTTTTTATGCTATTTCTTATCTTTTAAATTTTTATAACATATAGCTATATGAAGTTGAGATGACTTATAAAAAAAAGAAGGGTTGGGGGTTTCAAATACTGACAAGTTATAATTTATTGTCTATTATTTAAAGAAACTACCCCCATTAATAAAAGAATTAGGCCCCTCATGTGAAGTTGCCTATCAAAAATGAGCCTTGTAATTGTTCACATTTGCTTCTAAATTTGCACCTATCTTTCAATTTGATAATATGGGCAACATGGTGAGTGTTGGAAACAAAAACTTGATTACGTGACAAGTTATCTTCTATTGTCCATTATTTAAAGCAACTACCCATTAATGAAAGTGTGACACGCTCTTCATATGATGTTACCTTTGAAGAATGAGTCTTATAATGACTTATTATTGCCTCTAAAGCGGCACTCATATTTGATATTGGTAATTCTTGCAAAAAAAAAAAGAAAAAAAAAATTTAATGAGGGTATCCGTGGGACTATTGCATCTATCTAATTTCTCTTTCTTTATATATAATAATAATAATAATAACAACAAGAAAAACATTAATAATGGTAATATTAAAAACTATCCTTACTGCAATTTTTTTTAATAGCTACTAGTAACTATATTTTTTTGGTTGGTCTCCTTGCTCTATCATTTCTCTAGCTACTTTTTTGATTAGCCTGCTTGTGCACATGTTTTTTGTGGTAACATTACATTGCTAGAAGCCTTTTTTTTATCATTAGAGATAGTGATGCCGCATCGTCACTTCTAGGTGCCATTTCTTGCAATATTTTAACTTATTATTTTTTTCAATTCAAATATACCGAATGAGAATTTGTCTTATTTCCTTACGTTTATTTGTTCATGAACTAGGGGTTATGATAGAGAGAGTGAATGGCGTCACAGCCATGGATCCCGATCTAGGTCTAGTGACAGATCCAGGCATAGATCAAGGTCTCGGTCTCGTTCCAGGTTAAAGAGGTAAAAACTTGCAGGCATAAAAATTGATCTGTTATGTTTTATAATTTTTTTTATGCAGGTTATTTAATTGTTTTAAATTTTCTTGTTGGTTATAGGAATATCATGCTTTATTGTATAATTTTTTTTTAAACTAAAACCCATTATGTTGAACGCTTTATGTAAATTTATTAATGTCTGTCTATAAATTTGCCAGATTAATCATTTGGCATTCCAAATATTATTGAAACCATAATTATGTGTGTATGGAAAGTTTTAAATCTAATGATTGGGTAACCTAATTAGAGTAGATCTAATTACAAGATCTTTCATATATTAGAAGTATACCTAATCTGTAGAGACAGGAGCTTATATAAATATGTATCATATACTTTGAATAGTGGAATTAGAAGAAAGAAAGTTTTCCCTTTATAATATGGTTTGAGGAGTTGATGATTTCGAGATGCAGTAATTATAAAAGTTGGCTTGATTTTACTATTATACTTGGACTGTTAAGGTTGATAGTTTTATTTTTTTAATATTTAGGCTAATTTAATGCTTATTTCCAGCAACCATTTATATCAGTGTTTCCTTAATTTCTGCATGTGGTTTCCAATTCTTCTTTTCTTTATTTTCAGATCTCTATACATTCCGTTAAAGATTAACGTATTGTCTGTTTATTTATTGTTCTCATGCCCTGTTCTCGTGGATGGATTTGTGTTTCATGCAGTGTGGATTTGAATCTATCAGTTATTTTGAATTTTGATTTATTGAATGATGATGCATCCTTTTATGCTTGTTTTAACTATATTGGATCTCTGTTGTTTGCTTTATCCCATGCTGAAACTTTATAGTTCATGAAAAGAAGGCACTTCTTTATATATTTTAGTCTTTTTGATTGGCACTAGTGTACATTCTCGTGCTTTTATTGTCATCATCATTGTTAGCTTTACCTCAACTATCTGGTGCCGCTGTCATGCATTTTCAATTTTCTTTTGTTTCGGTTGAATGCCATCTAAGGTGTTAAATCCTCATCTTCACAAACTCTTTTGTAAAATTTGGAGGACAGATGATAGTTTTTCTTTATTTTCTAGTTTGTAATGCACAAAATTTGGGGAAAGAGATTTATGCCAATCAACCAAACTTGGGCATTATAAATGCATTGTATTTAAATCACACGGCATTTGGAATGCATATGCATCTCAATTCTTAAATACTTGCAGCCAACTGTCCTTTTGAAAAAACGGACTGCAAGTTACCTAAAATATTATTTTATGTCAGAGGGAATGACAATGCTTTTGGGAACCCCAAAAATGTAGGCAGAGCATGGCTTTCTGTTCCCCCTGACAAGTTGGTACAATTTGGAGATGATGAAATAAAATTTTTCTCTCTACTGTATTTACCGTATATAACATTTCAAATTAAGAATAAAAGATGATGGTGGGTCGCGGAACTGGGAATAGGTCTGTGAAAAGAATTAAAACTCAAATATAACATAATTTTGAAGTTCAATGTTGTCAATTAAGAGAAGAATTGAGCGATGTTGAAGTTGGAGCTTAAATATGTTGTAAAAATCAAGACATTTACAAAGGATTAAATCTGGAGTTCTATGAGAGGTTTGGAGATTGTAAGTGCTTGCATGGATAATGGCGGGCCTCACTAAGGAAGGCTAGAGCCACATACTAGGGAAATGTGAATTGATTTTGTGACATTCAATTTTGGCGAATTGAGTGGTCGGTAATGTTTGATGATTGATTTCGATTTAGAAGGCTTGAATGGTCCTACTTTTAACTTGTCAAAGTTTCGAGTTTCAATTTGAATAGTATTATGGAACAAGAAATTTTTAGTTCTTATTTCAAGCATTTTTCTTTGTTTATTTGGAAGTCCTGTTGTGCAAGCTGCGGAGCATATCTGGCCGTAGTCATGGAAAATGAAATTTAAGTTTCAATGGTTACTGGCTTCACTTTGATATATGTTTTGCGACTTGCTGATGCCATTCCTACATGGAATTGCATGTTTAAACCATTCAAGTAAGAAAAGCTTTGAAACAACTTGATAAATGTCAAAATATTAGAAAAATTTGCATCCTTCTTATAATCAATAATAAGTTGATTTTTTTGGAGTTTTGATAGATGCTGCATAATTCTTATGTATTTACATATTTAATATCTAAACTTTGATATTTACATATATAATATTTTAGTGTTATAATCACATTAAAATACATGCATGTGCATGAAAACATGTATTTCACTTTATAAAAGTTATTATTGGTAGCATTTTGATGTGTTGTTTATGATTTGAGTGTTATATCGGTGATTATTAAAGTTTTTTGTGCTAAATATGTAAATATATAACTCTTGTGTGGTATGTTTATAATTCCCCTAGTATTTTTTTGTAATTTTATCAGTATTCAATGTTTTGGAGCCTTTTTGTCTCTGTAACTGCATTTTTTTTAGTTGGCTGTTGGGCACATATGTTCTCTGCGGTAGCATTACATCTTAAGAAATCATTGTTATTGTTAGAGAGAATCACCATGAACATAACATTTGATGAGGTTCACATGGTGATTCATCACTTCCTAGGTAGCATTTCCTAGGCCCATTCTTGTTTATGATTTTTTTCCATGTTAAATCTGCTTGTTCATAAGTTGTGTTATTTCCTTGCCTGTATTTTTTCATGCTAGGGATTATGATAGAGAGGGTGAAGGGCGTCACAAACATAGATCCCAATCTCGATCAAGGGACGGATACAGGCACAAGTCAAGGTCTCGGTCTCGTTCAGGATCAAAGAGGTAAAGACTGTTCTGCATGAAAAAGATTTTTCTTTTAATTTTGTCACATGCTTACTGTATGTTTTTTTAACATAGTTAATCATTTATTTATTTTTTTCTTTGCTTCAAATGTTTTCAATGTCTTATTTGTTCTAGAAATACCAAGCTTTTATCTATTATTTTTCTCTTAAGATCCTGTGATTTGGATACTGAATTTTATCATTGTCTGTTTAGAATTGCATCAGATTAGTGATTTGGAACTCCAAAATGTGACTGAATCATCGTTACATAACTTGAGGACTTGATAATTATGCGATAGTGAATATCAGTGTTTGCTTGATGTCTACTTTATACTTGGACGATTTGTGATTTTTGTTGTCTTATTTTTAAAAATATTTATACTAATTTAAGATTTGTTTTCGGGAACCATCTACTTCATTTGGTATTCATCTTTTAGCATGTGATTTCTAACCCATCTTTTCTTTATTTCAGGATCAGCATATTGTGTGTTTTTTTGTTCTCATGCCATTTTCTTGTGCATGGATTTATGTTCACATAACAACATGGATCAGAGTTATGATATTCTGCTTGCTGCATGCATACTCTTATGCTTGTTTTTATCTATTGGATTTGTGTTGTTCTCCCTAACAAAACAGTAGGGTTTCTATCTTGAACTTTTATAGCTCATGGAATGAAGGTTTTTTGCTTTTATCTTTCAGCTTTCTTGATTGACATTATTGTACATATGTGCTTTCATGGTTATCATCATCGTTAGCTTTATCCCAATTATTTATGTTTGACATTTTATATTCTCATTTTCCTTCTATTTCTATTTAATATTGTCCCAAGGTGTTTAAATCTAATATTTGCATGTTTTTTTTCTAAAATTTAGAGGAAATTCAAGAGTCTTCTTTTTATTCCTTTGCTCGGAACACAATTTTGAAGAGATTTACAGCTTGAGGACCTAAATGCTAGGTGCTATTCCAAAAACAACTTCTAAGGGACATTTAGCGGGTTTCAAACATATTTATTTCAATCAAATTTGACACTTGGAAATTTTACATCCCATTTTCTTTATTAGTCACCCTAATTAAGCTTCTCAATAGGTTAAATAATCTTTTATTCATCTCTTCTATTTGCCCGTTAGTTTGTTTATAGAAAATTGGATAAAATTTCATATTACCAAATAAGTTTCATTAAGATCTAAATGTTTGGTCAAGAAAAAAAAAAAAAAACTAGGGAGACTTGAAGCTAGCCATCGGTAATTTGTTCCAGCTAAAACCTTGTTGGTCTTTGGGTGACGTTCAGACCTTGGCACTGAAGATGAAGATGAAGAGACAACAGAAGCAAAGTACCCACCCATCATCATTTTGATAACCACCCGCAGTTGGAGACATCAGTCAGAGCACACCTAAGACAGTTGAGACGTGTGGTTAGGATGATGATAAAACTACCCAGAGTGAGAAGAAACCTGAGAAGAGCATCACCCCCAATACAATTTCAGCTAGGAAATGCATCAAATGCCATGCTTTTGTGCACATTGCTTCCAGTTGCTCGACAAGTGAGTTGCCCTTCACTGACTAGGGTGCAGCGGAGGAAGTTTGCAATGAAGAGGCAGCTGAAGAAAAGGGTGAGGAGTAGTGTCCTCCACCAAATAAGGGCAAGCTGCTTGTGGTTCGTCGGGACCTACAGATTGAGGCTATGAGGGATCAGTAGTGGCTTCTCCACAACATCTTCTACAAACTGTATGCAATCTCATCATTGATAGAGGAAGCAACAAGAATGTGGCCTCTACATAGAAGGTGAACAAGTTGAGCCTTACGACTCAGAGACTCCCACCCATACTCTCTGATGTGGCTGAGGAAGAAAAATAGAGTTTGTATTGCAGAAGGTGTCTCGTGAAGTTTTCGATGATTGAGAACCAGCTTTAGGACTAAATTTTGTGCTACGTGATGCCCATGAATGTCTGCAACCTTTTGTTGTGGAGATCGTTGTAACTTGATTATCTGACTCAACTTGACAAGTATAGGAACACTTGCTCATTCACTAAGATGGAAAGTACTTTGTTCTTATAACTATGTTACAGGTGCTATTGTAAGCAGAGAAATGCCGACGAGATCGATTTTCATGATGATAGAGTATGGCTGGACGTAGGAGCTGATTTCAGACGGGGCAGTCACTACGGTGAGCATTTTAGGACGTCATGATCAATACTTTAACACCATGGCCGACACCGTTAGAGGGGGTGCAGTCCATTCTCACATCAAATAGGGATGGGCCAACCCGGGGCTACCTTTGGACGACTCTGCAAGGCACAGTTGGCATGAAGTCCCAATTTGTTTCAATAATGTACTCTCATTCAATTGGGCCGATATGAATGACTGCTCGCAAGTGATGGCAACTCTGGTGTTTTGGGGGACAATGCTGTTGGCAATGGGATCTAGGCGCTTTCAGGGCCGTAGATGTAGATCCTTCAAACCTGGGAGGTTACAACAATTGCGTCACTTTCAACATGTAGACAAAGTTTCAATGAATGAGGTCGAAGCTCTCCCAAATTCGAGATACTGACGTGGGGCTCGCGAGGCTCTTCGTTGCCTGAACCGACGTGGGATAGTTGAACCCCTTCAACTGGAAGGGAAACAAGGTTGGCCAACCTTAGTGAAGTGGGACTTATATGTTGTGTTTCAGGTTTTAGGCCATTTTTGCTGTGTTTTTGCTCAGAACATCCGTCGATGTCCCATGTTTAGGGCTATATCTGAGGACGAGTGGTTGTCCAACCGTATTTCGCTCTGAGGTGGTGATTATCCTTGATGTTTCCTATATCCACATCCTACCCTATTGTTGCCACCTTCCCCTCTCCGCTCTGCAAGCGACCAACCACTACATCTCCATACCATCCCAGCTCACCCCACGACCGCCTGCTTGATTGTCTTCAACTTGTTGCAACTCTTCAAACTTCTATCCCTTTGTTTTGTTGATCTCCCTTCTCAGACTCTCTTCTAACTTGCCCGCCAGTCTTCCTACAACCAACCTCCCTTCCCGACCATAACCCGGCCGTCAGTCACTCGCTAGTTGCTGACATCTTACCTACCACCTTCCGGCCACCTTTTTTGGCGGAAGGGAATGCCACTACGTTAATTCCTCCTCTAACCGCAACACCACCGCCCTCACCCTAAGCCCTAGTTTGGGTTGTGTTGTATCTTTGGTAATTTTCTATTTCCTTGTTTCTTGTAATTACTATTTGATTTTTCAGTAATAAAATTTTTGTTTCTCGTTTTGGTGGGTTAACTCTGGTATCATCAATTCTTTGGATGCAAGTGGAACGAGAAAAACAGAATTTTGAAAGAGTAAGGAAAAAACATACTTTTCTGTTTGACGAGGTTTCTTAAGGAAGAGTACCAGTAGTTTGGAATTGTGCCAGGAGGAAACCGAAATGTGGAGCTTTGGGTTCATGAACTCCAATGATGGAGTTTCTCCATAGTTGAATTTTCGTATGTTCTATAAATATTTAATCTTCTTCGTCTTTTAATCATTTAGTTAAATCTGAAATGTTAATTTAAAATAATAGTAATCTTACAAAATTATTGAATATATATATATATATATATATTTGAATATTGCATTTTGCATTAATTAAACGCAAAAGTTACGAAAGGATGTAGAAACTTATGCCCCCTGGGCATTTACAAAATAAAACCTATCATGTTGTATAATGTTGTGAAGAATACGTGAATTTTTACTCGAGTAAACTAAAAAGTATCCTGTAAGGCATGTTGGGCACAAAATTGAGCGACATGGTTACAGGTCCTAGTTATATGGTGAAACAAAACTTGTATAAACATAGTAATAAAGGCTAAGTCAGTACTGAATTCAGGCTGAATCCTCCATGTACGTTTATCCATGCACTGGTTAAGGAAGCTAATAACATCATACTTATCTCCCTCCATAATAATTCCCCTCATTTCAAGCATCAAAGGTTATAACTGTGAAGAGGGCTTTTGTGCCATTTATTAAAGGAATTTTTGCCTTCTTGGAACCCGGCGAGGAGCCATAACTTTGTGATGCGGGATCGTCTCCCACATATGAGCGGAACATGGGAGCAAGCCGCATGTTCTCCCACAGTCACGTGAATATAGAATCGAACAGTCATATATGTGGAGAGAAATGAAAGGATCATTCAGATTTATGGAAAGGGCTTTTGTGCCAATCAATAGAGAGAAATTTTGCAGGCTTGGAAGCCAGGCAAAGCCATAACTTTGTGATGCAGGAGCGTCTCCTGCGTATGAGCGGGAGTGAGTCGTTTGCCTTCCGCAGTCGTGCAAAGATCAAATTGAGCAGGAGTTTTTTGTTTCCTTTCCAATTTTAGCAATTTTTTTTTTCCTTTCCTTTCATTCGTTTATAGTCCTTTCCTGTATATGTCGTGTATTAGAATTTATAGTGTTGTTTTTTTTTCCTATTTAACCAGGACAGCCGCCCACGTTTTCCAGGCTGTATCTGGAGGCAAGTGGTGCTCTCGCTTTATTTCGTTCGTGGTGGTAATTATCCTCGATCTTTTTCACTCCTTCCCTCCGGCATTAGCATCACTGTATTCGGTGCAATCACCTGGAAAACAACCATCTCACTGTTTTCTTGCAGTCGTCTACCGGCTAACACCTGGAAAACAACCATCTCACCACAGGCTTCTAACCCTCAACCATTCTGTTGTGGAGTGCGAGTATAAGGACAAAACTATTTGAGTGAGAAAAAACCTGTGAAGTATAGTACACTCGCTACAATCACAGCCAAAAAATGCTTAGATGCCATGGATTTGGGCACATCACCTCCAACAACTTGATAAACCGAGTAGGGTGTAGTTGAGGAGGTTAGTGACGAAGAGGCAGCTGAAAAACAGGTTGAGTTGTATTGTCTTCCATCGGATAAGGGCGAGATGCTCGTGGTTTGATGAGTCCTATTGATTGAGGATACGATTTGCCATATTTTAACCCATTGCACTATGAACGGAAATGTATACAATCTCATCA